TCAATACTTTATTATACTTTGAATTTACTTTGTTATAGTATCACTTTTAATAAACATGACGGTAACTATATTTTATTATGTAGAAATGTTGATGAAAGAACTATAATCTAATATTATACTCCCTCTGTCCCAAAATAAGTGTCTCAACCTTACTACAACTTTGTACTAAAGTTAGTACAAAATTTAAGATATTCCTCCTCCAAATGTCTGGGGGATAGTATATGCCCATCCACCTCTTGATTGTGTGTAACTTAATTAATTTCCCGCCATTTTCGCTGTCTTGAACAATGCTTTTATTAGCATTTCCCTTGTGTATTTGATTTCTTCTCTCAGGTACTGTAAACGTGATGCGCTTCAGTTTGTTGTTCAATTAATGGGGACATTTCGATCAGCGCATCTTAAAGCAGACGGCAGAGTCTGGAAATATTTCGTCTGGTTCGATGTGTGCGTGCATGTATACTTCTGGACGTCTTCTGAACATCTTAATGTTGAGTATATATCTTTTGCTCAACTTGCTGTGGCTTGATTGAAAGTGCATCCAGTCAAATTCGTTCAAAATGTTTACAATATGCTAGGAATCATCCGTGGAAGGCTACTACAAAAATATATGTTACTACACATGTCTGAACATATGACACACCTAACCATTAAGGGGGCAATACAAAAAACAAGGAAACAATAATTCATGAATATGCACATGAATCTAGAGGACAGTTCAGTATAAAAGATGTGTCTATCATCTTTCTAGGAAATATCTACAGCAATCGTTGTTGTAAAAAAAAAGGACAATGCATCTTAAGCATTAGTGCATTTGAGCAGGCAATACACTAAGCACAGACTGATACTTCCTCGCATTACCTCAACCCTTGCAACTTTATCAGCAAGTTCCGCAAGTGCCTTGGTGAAGCGCTAAAACCAAACATGTGCCAACAACAATCTCAAGGTAGAGGCAGGCCATGAAAAAACGGAGATAACTTTTCTTGGTGGTTGCCATGATTTCCATCCTTCCCGGTCCCTTCATCCCCTGACCTTCCAGGACGAGGGAGATGCTAAAGCAGAACTAAATATAAGGAACATGCTGATAACACCAAATCATAAGTATCCCGTTTTATGAACAGTATAAAAAAAGTGCATTTAGATATTGGATACTAGATATGGATACTCCTTTCTGGGATGATTTGGATACTTGTTAAATCAACCAAGCTGGAGACTCAAACTGTATAAACATGAACTGTTGCCAAAGCCAAACAACACAATGATGACTATATCAGATGGAAGGTACTGGTTTCGAAAGGGATCACCTCATAGTAACCAGACAGACGGGCACTAACAAAAAAAAACGCTACCAAAGGATGAAACTCCTGGGCATCTCAACAAACAAAGGAGCACTAACAAAGAATCTGTAACAAGATGGCAAGCAGAAAACAGAAACACATAAAACAGAGGCGAAAGATAAATTAGGTCCCCTTGTTTCAGCCTCTTTCTCCTTTGATTTGATCATTTAGGTCCCTGCTTTTGCTAAGACTGACAACTGCTCATTAAATTTGCCTTTGCAATTTTTATTTCACGTACTGTATTATGGTCGGACTCTGTAGTCATAGTATTTGCAAAAACATTAAGTAAAGCAGAACTTTAATTGTGGTCATAGGAACTGAATATATAATATTAGCTACAATAGTACTCCCTCCGTCCCAAAATACTTGTCGGAGGAATGGATGTATCTAGATGTATTTTAGTTCTAGATACATTTATTTTTATGCATTTCTCCGACGAGTATTTCCGGACGGAGGGAGTATATAACTAAAGCAGAACCGTAACTATAAGAAACATGCTATATCACCAAATCATAGGTATCCTGCTTTGTGACCAGTGTAGATAAAGAAGTGAATTTATATATCAGATACTGAATGTGCATTTGCAAGATGTGGATACTTGATAAATTGTTGACGCTGCAAATTAGAAGTTATATAACAATAAACTGCCGTGGCACAACACGACAGCAGGTTTCTGAAAGGGCTCACCTCATAGAAAAGTAAACCCAAAAAGAATGTGCAACCAAAACACAGAAGGTGAAAACTCATGGTCATCTGAACAGTAAAGCCCGACTAAGCTGCACCCCATGTTTTCTCCATGTCGGCGGTAAGACAGGATAGCGTCAAATCTTTTAGTCTTCAGCCAGATACTACTTACTGTACCAAAAACTTAATATCACTGCTATTTACTCGATATTACTACCTCTGGTTTTAAATACAAGACGTTTTGGCAGTTTAAACTGAACTACCAAAACAGTTTTACATTTGGGAACAGAGGGTGTAGTATCTTACAGTAAAAGAAGATGCTAAGTTTCAAATCATACAGTTGGATTTATTTTTTTATAATCACCCCAATAGGCATCAACAGATGTAGTGAACTTGCCAAATGAAAATAATTATGCAGGCCTAAGTATATAAATTCAGTTTTGTGTTTCTATGAACAATGCTTGTAAACCTGGGAAAGCACAACTCACCAGCCTGAATCACATTTACATTTTTGACCTGACACATCAATGGAAACATCCACTTCTTTCAGTCAGAAATGAATGTTTAATAGTCAGAACTGAACATTAGCAACCGCAAACCACTTGCAATGGTCCATCGCTTCAAATTAAGAAAATATACTAATGCTTAATACGGTAATTCAGCATCACCATATTATGCTCCAGTGCAGCAGAAAAATTACATCGGACTGATTAGGCTCGTTTTCTTTTACTCAAGAGATGGTTAACTGGAACTTCTGAGGAAAACGTAAGTCTAACCCCAGTGAAAAAATTAATCAATCTTAACCATTATTTTTGCTTAAGTATAACTCTTTTAAGAAAGGTGTATGAATCTGAACAGCAGGGTGATTTTTTCCCTCGTGGTATTGGGCCTAGTTGTATCTACCATATCTGAACCTAACATCCAATGCATTCATCTCCATCTAACTATAACCAGATGTCAGCACAAGCATGGACATCTTGCCTAAGTGGTACATTGTTCTCCGTTTTGATCATGAAGTTCAGGAAAAGAAAGTTAACGTACCTCACTTCAAGTCACTGAGCATGAAAAAAATAAACAACAGACTAGACTGGTATTTTCAATTTAGAAGAAACAAACCAGGCACAGCACCCTTCGGAGCCAAAGGCTTGAACGCGGGTGGCGGGCTGGGTGTGCAGCAGGCCATACACCACTAGCCAACTGGTCGATGCCCAGTTCACAGATAGGCATCTCATCACCTTGGTGTAACCATCTAACTTTTACTAATTCATATTCTGTTTTCACTGAATATATAATGTTTTTCCTCTTGTTGATCATCAGCTGCAGTTGCCATTTGCAGCTTTCACACGATACAACTAATCTATGCAATTTTCTCTTCTTGGTCAGATCTAAATGGCTGTGATCCTTCATGCCTTTGAACAGGGAAAATGTTTGTATATAATGGCATGGGAACAGTAGCGGGGATGGTTACCCCTGTTGCTCACTAAACACAACCAGGACACATAATTACATCACAAAACACAACAATTTGCCACTCTTTATGTTAGAATGGAACCGGTGGAAGATTTCAGTGTCGTGTAACGGGTGGACAGCAGGTGGAAGGTCTCAGTGTCTCGAAGTCTAATATAAACATCAAACAAAGTTAGTACTAACTGACATGCAATTGAACCTAAGAGACAATGAAATGAAAATAGAACATGCATGATAGATAAATTTTGGCATGGAAGAAGATCATACTGATACATTTTGGTGGAAAATGACACCACATTACTCTTTTGATTTCTGGTTTCATCACAAAATTGGTCTACCCACACATCCAATTTCCATGATATTCGATGGAAGTCTGACAACATCAACTTCTCGGGGTTCAGAAATCAAATTGCCAGCTTCATAGGGAGTTATCATTTAGCAATGATCAAGTGGCATGTAACAGGCATACTACAGAAAACAAACAATATTATGTAAGGCAAAGAACACAGAAACAGGAAGTACAGCTGACACGCAGGATGATAACTTTGTTGCGCCCCATACGCTGTAACCAATTTCCATAGCCCTTCTTTGTTCATGTAAATCTGAAATTAGTTGGCATTTCCCCTTTGCAAGCGATTGCATAGTCCTCAGCCAGGTGTGGTGCAGCTTTCGTGTGAGGGCAAATGAACATCTCCACGAAATACTTCTCGGGCTTCGTGACAACAGTACAGAAGCTCAGGTTGCAAACTACAAATCCATTTTTCTTGAGAAACTTTACAACATAGTACCGGGGCCTGACCCGGCCCTCCAGGCTAAGACAAATAATTATCGGTCGATGAGCAATGTACATGGGCTCCAACCCCACCTCAGATAGCAGGCGGACTTGCGCTGTAGCAGGTCCTTAGAAATCTTCAGAAGCATCGGAGACTTAGACAAAGCAATGACCACCTCAGCAGCAGACCACCTGAATGTGTTCTTCAAGTAGTCCACTTTGGCGGCGATCTTGTCCTCGTTGAGAAACGCAACAGCCTGCAGTGCTTGCCTGAGCATCCCAGAGCCACGGGGCATGCCTAATCTTTCAGCACAAGCCACCATCGCCCGGACGCTCTCCGGGTTGGCGGTGAGCATCCTCGGCACACGGATACACAGCTTGGCAATATCACAATCACCTAGCCCGCACTCCCTCAGGAACACAACATTGGGCTTGACAACCTTGTCGAGGTCCGAAAACAAGAGGCGGGATGAGTGCTTGAGCAGCCGGAGGAAGTTGTGGAAGGAGCCCAAGAGGGGCAGGTAGTAGTGCAGCTTGGAGACTATGGCTCTACGGCGGAAGCGGTCGGGGTTGAGCGAGACGAGGCTGGCGATGTCGGAACGCGACAGACCGAGGCCGGTGAGCCCGTCGACCACTGGGGCCAGGGTTTTGTCCACGTTGGCGCATAGGAGCTGCGGGTCCTTGGCGACGGCGGCGGCGGCATCGGCGCCGGAGAGACCGAGGCCGGCGAGGAAGGCGAGGACGGCGTTGGGGTTGGCGGGGGACTTGAGGTGGGAGAGCTTGGTGGAGGCCTTGAGGGCTTGTGGCCGGGTGAGGCCGCAGGTGTCGACGAGGTACAGGGAAATGGGGGGCGATGCGGTGGTGGAGAGCAGGCGACGAAGAGAGCGGATGGGAGAGGCAGAGGTGGATGGAGAAGAGAGGAGACGGGAAACGACGCAATCTCGGAGGCAGAGCATGGCGCAGCCGGCGGGAAGGCGGCGAGAACAACGGCGCCGGCGGCGATGCAGAGAGAGATCTCCGATGGATTGCAATGGCAGCTCTGCCTCTGCGTGTGTTGGGGGATAGTCAGAATGGGCTCTAATGGACTTCTTTTTCTCTGTGTGCGTGGGCTCTCTAATGTTCATTTTTCTCATTCATTTTCTTCCCTCGTTATAAACAAAATCCATTTTCCTCCCTTTTCATGGTCTTATTTTTATTTACTTTACCTATGTCGCCTCCACATTTTTATTTAATTATTTCATGACATATATTTTTCTGCATTTTTTATATTTCCATTTTGGATTTTTTTACAACAAACAATTATTTTTTTACTTTGACATTGCTCATAAAAATGGAGTAAAACTTGGCATCTAATAGAAAGTTGATTTTGAAAATTAATATTTTATTAATTTCAGATAATATGTTTCATTGAATAGTTTGCTCATTTATATATAGTATTTTTAATCAGATGAAATAATATTTACAACCATAGTGACCATGATATACATAAACAAATTCCATAGACAGAGAATATATCTTAAGAAATTTTTGCCTTAATAAGTATAAAGATGGAGAATACTTTTCACTAATAGATACTTTCTTCTTGATATTAACTTTTTTATTAATGTGAGAAAATGATAGGTTTCTATGAAATTTGGAGATGAGGTACTCCTCCACGGCGAAGCAACTAGTACTAGGGTTGGGGGAAACGGGGGCCGACGCGGTGGTAGTGAGGAAGCAGCGGAGTGGGGAGAATGCAACTCTCGAGGGTGAAGTAAGGAGATGGGAAAGGACGCACTCCCAAAGACGGAGCATGGCACAGGCGGCGGCGGCGGCGATGTTTTTGATGGATTGCAACTGCAGTTGTGTCTCGTCGGCTTGGTCTGCAGAGTGGATGGACTGTACTAGTCCCTTTGGTTTTTTTTGAGACAAAGTAGTTCCTTTGGTGGTGGTTGTGTCTTGTGTGGGCTCTATTAGACCAGAGTTTTGTTAGGCCCGTGGAAGATGTTTCTTGGAATTTTGTTGTTGTTGTGAGTTTTAGGGACTAATACTCCGCGTGTTTTTCCAGTTTGCTATTCGTCATGCCATTCGAATTTCCCGTCGGTCAATTATATGGCGAAGAACGAGGCGACAGCAAGGCGCTGGCGGCACGATTAGCAATGACGTCTTAGCAAGGCGCGCCAGGCCTGCACTAGAGATGGACCACGATCATCACCGACGCAAAAGCGTGGCCAACAGTTGATGGGTTGGGGGAGGGTGGGATCAATTGTTTTGACCGTTCTTTGGATTAAACGGAGCCCGAGCTCGAGATGTGGACACCGTGGTTGTCTATGACGAGGGCTCACCAGGACCTCACTGAAGCCAGGGACAACATGACTCATTACAGTGTTGCCATCGATGAAGAGGAGAGGAGTCACTAGGTTCGATGCTTGGAAAAAGAAGGTGCAATTGGATTTGATGCGGTGACAGATAAAAAATTGACTAGAGATTTAGTTTTTTCCAGACACCTATAAAATATGCATTTCGTATTTAACGCCTTCCACGCCTCTTAGTGCCTTATTCGTATGTGGCGCCCAAACCTCGGTTTCTATAGGCCGTCCCATTTATGCATCGCTCATATTTCTTTCTTCTTCTCATGATTACAGTTTTTAGGCTCCCTTGGTTTTATGGTCCTGTTTTTTGTGCTTCTTTACTTCTTTTTCAGGCTGGTTTTCTATTCAGTTATTTTGTTTTTGTTTTTCGTTTTCCCTTTTATTTCTCTTTTTTCTTTTTTTCACCTTTTCAAATTAATAACATTTTAATTTTTGTGTTCTCTTTAAATTCACGGACTTTTTTCGTGTTTGCAAAGTTTTCCTAAATTTATTAACATTTTTTAAATTCAAGAACCTTTTTAAATCCACAAATAGTGTTTTTCAAATTCACGAACATTTTCCAAGTCCTCCAACATTTTCTTCCAAATCCCTGAACTTTATTGAAATGCATGAACTATTTTCTGGTCCACGAGTTTTTTTCCACATTCATGATTTCTTTTCAAATTCACAAACTTTTTTCGTATTCACAAACTTTTTCAAAGTCATGAACAGTTTTCAGATTCACAAACATTTTTCAAATTTATGAACTTTTCTCAAATTCATGAACTTTTTTTTCAAATTCATGATTTTTTCTAATTTGCAAATGTTTTCAAATTTGCAACCTGTTTTGTATTCACGAACTTTTCTTTTCAAATTCGTGAACACTTTTTTAGTTTTTGAAAATTCAGCAGTGAATAAGTCAAACCGTTGCGGGGCCAAAGGGTTAAACGGTTAAGGACATCTCCAGCCGTTTGGCCTTCCCAGGGCCATTTTTATCATCGGCGAGAGGTGAGCCGGCAGAAGTTTTGGGCTGGGGGCTTGTTTATTCCCAGCCGGTCCCCCATGCCATGTCTTTTCCTTGCTTCTGATTGGTGCACGCCACAAGCTGACTTGCTCCATCCGTGGTCCCGTCACATGCACATAAAAGAAAGGAGAGAGGAGAGAGAGATCCAATAGCCCCATATTCAACCATGCAAAAAAGTATCGTCGGTGTCCCCAGCTGCTCCCCCGCGGGCTGGGTTTGGGATGGGTTCGCGGTGGTACTTTTGGCCAAATCCGGCGAAAACAAGCTCTTGGAGCATGACCGGGGCATTTTTCTTTTGCCAATGTCAAAAAAGTGGTCCTGGGACCTATTGGGAGTGTTGGGGAACGTAGCAGAAATTCAAAAATTTTCCTACGTAACACCAAGATCTATCTATGGAGAGACCAGCAACGAGTAGAAAGGGGAGTGCATCTACATACCCTTGTAGATCGCTAAGCGGAAGCGTTCAAGTGAACGGGGTTGATGGAGTCGTACTCGTCGTGATTCAGATCACCGATGACCAAGTGCCGAACGGACGGCACCTCCGCGTTCAACACACGTACAGCCCGGTGACGTCTCCCACGCCTTGATCCAGCAAGGAGAGAGGGAGAGGTTGAGGAAGACTCCATCCAACAGCAGCACAACGGCGTGGTGGTGGTGGAGGAGCGTGGCAATCCCGCAGGGCTTCGCCAAGCACCATGGGAGAAGAGGAGGAGGGAGAGGGGCAGGGCTGCACCAACGAGAGATCAAATCATGTGTTATGGGCAGCCCCATGCCTCAATATATATAGGGGAAGGGGAGGGTTGCGCCCCCTTTAGGGTTTCCCACCCCAAGTGGCGGCGGCCAGCCTCCAGATGGCATCTGGTGCGGCGGCCAAGAGGGGGGGAAGGAGTCCACCCTCCCCAAGGCACCTCGGAGGTGCCTTCCCCCTTGAGGACTCTTCCCTCTAGGGTTCCCTAGGCGCATGGGCCTCTTGGGGCTGGTGCCCTTGGCCCATGTAGGCCAAGGCGCACCCCCTACAGCCCATGTGGCCCCCCGGGGCAGGTGGCCCCACCCGGTGGGCCCCCGGGACCCTTCCGGTGGTCCCGGTACAATACCGATGACCCCGAAACTTGTCCCGATGGCCGAAACAGGACTTCCTATATATAAATCTTTACCTCCGGACCATTCCGGAACTCCTCGTGACGTCCGGGATCTCATCCGGGACTCCGAACAACATTCGGTAACCACATACAAGCTTCCTTTATAACCCTAGCGTCATCGAACCTTAAGTGTGTAGACCCTACGGGTTCGGGAGACATGTAGACATGACCGAGACGTTCTCCGGTCAATAACCAACAGCGGGATCTGGATACCCATGATGGCTCCCACATGTTCCACGATGATCTCATCGGATGAACCACGATGTCAAGGACTCAATCGATCCCGTATACAATTCCCTTTGTCTAGCGGTATTTTACTTGCCCGAGATTCGATCGTCGGTATACCGATACCTTGTTCAATCTCGTTACCGGCAAGTCACTTTACTCGTTCCGTAACACATCATCCCGTGATCAACTCCTTGGTCACATTGCGCATATGATGATGTCCTACCGAGTGGGCCCAGAGATACCTCTCCGTTTACACGGAGTGACAAATCCCAGTCTCGATCCGTATAAAACAATAGATACTTTCGGAGATACCTGTAGTGCACCTTTATAGTCACCCAGTTACGTTGCGACGTTTGATACACCCAAAGCACTCCTACGGTATCCAGGAGTTACACGATCTCATGGTCGAAGGAAGAGATACTTGACATTGGCAAAGCTCTAGCAAACGAACTACACGATCTTTTGTGCTAGTCTTAGGATTGGGTCTTGTCCATCACATCATTCTCCTAATGATGTGATCCCGTTATCAACGACATCCAATGTCCATAGCCAGGAAACCATGACTATCTGTTGATCACAACGAGCTAGTCAACTAGAGGCTCACTAGGGACATATTGTGGTCTATGTATTCACACGTGTATTACGATTTCCGGATAATACAATTATAGCATGAATAAAAGACAATTATCATGAACAAGGAAATATAATAATAACACTTTTATTATTGCCTCTAGGGCATATTTCCAACAGTCTCCCACTTGCACTAGAGTCAATAATCTAGTTCACATCGCCATGTGATTAACA